TTAATCTATTTATTGTTTATGTCTGACAGGAGAGATAAACGTTTAAAACAAAGAGTGGGTATTCCACAGAGTCTAAACTTCTCACTTTCTGCTCTTCTACAGAAAAAGTTATCCAGCCCCAGGCAGCTAACCATGACTCTAAGGTCAGCCTGCCTCAAATTATGGTACCCCTTCCATTTTTTAATGCAACTGAATGATTTTTAAGCAAGTCAATCACTTGAGACCTCAGTTTCTTCATCTTCCAAATGGGCATGTTGAGATAAGCAAACTATTAAATTTTATGTGTTGATCTCTGAGATAAGAGCCTATAGCTAAAAAAAAAAAAAAAAAAAAAAAAAAAAAGCCTTCAATCCCAGTACTTGGGAGGCAGATGTTGGTAGATCTGTGTGAGTTCGAGGCCAGCCTGATCTACATAGTGAGTTCCGGGTCAGCCAAAGCTACATAATGAGACTCCGTAACCAGTATTAGTATGTTATCATTTATGTATTGCAAGTCAGTCACCGTGAGGGTATAACTTGGCATTTAACACGAGGGTGGTGAAAGCCCCCTTGGAAAGGCAGAGGGTAGACTAGAGGTGACGTTAGCAGCCACAGATGGCGCCCAAGTGTTTGAAAGTGGTTGTTGGTTTCTTTGTTTGCCCCTGTGACCCTGTAAGCTCATGGGCAAAGGCATCTGCAGACACAGAGAGCTCTTCTCACCTCTGCCTGACTCCTGACCAGAGGCAGGGCCATTACCTTGCCCTGTGGCTGTACGGTCTAAGTGCCTGCGCTAATTAATGGCTGCAATTCCAGCCCTTCCCAGGGGAATTGCAGCAGAGGCTCGGTAAAGGTGGGATCTCGGGCCAGCTGCAGACACGGAACTGTTTTGAAGGCAGAAATGAGAAACGGTGCTGCGTTCTGTTTGATGATGCAGCAGGCAGTTTCTTACGCGGTACCATCTGCTTTGCTTTTTTTTTTTTTTGCCTCTCGGGAGGAAGACTGAGGAGTCTGAAAGATCACTTTGCCTCCCTAGAAAAAGAACATAAAGAGACATTAAGAAGAGCGACTGTGATAAAAATACAGTCGCACGGAGTGTTGTACTCCCTTCTGTTTGCGGTTGGCTCGTGAGATGCGCTAAACTGCGGAAGAAACCCCTCATGGAAAAGTCTGACCTCTGCGACCATCTTCACTCTCCCCCCCACCCACACCTCCCCTCTTTTTTACAGCTCCCTTTTTTACCCCTTCCCTTGCCTCTGAGTAGGAAAGACTTTGCATAAAAGTCAATGCTAGTTCCTGATAGAAATCCATAGCAAACTTGATAGCAAGAGAACTTTCCCTACCTGATAAAGGGTCTCTCTTTCATGCTCTCATCAAGTACAGTAAATACAAAATGGACGTTTAAAAATAGCCACCTTGGCCGGGCGTTGGTGGCACACGCCTTTAATCCCAGCACTCGGGAGACAGAGGCAGGCAGATCTCTGTGAGTTCGAGGCCAGCCTAGTCTACAAATCAAGTTCCAGGACAGCCTCCAAAACAATACAGAGAAACCCTGTCTCGAAACCCCCCCCCCAAAAAAATAGCCACCTTGGCAGGTAGGGGAGCTGGAGGCCCGGCTCAGCGGTTAAGAGCGCTTGCTACTCTTGCAGAGACCTAAGTATGGTCCCCAGGATCCACATGGGTACTCATAGACATCTATAGCTCCAGTTCCGAGGGATCTGACCCCATCTTCTGGCCCCCAAGGGCACCAGGCACACACATGATACATATATGTATATGCAGGCAAATATTCATACATATAAGAAGGGTTTTTTTTTGCATAGACAGATATTTCTTTAAAATCTTTATTTCATTTTTAAACCCTTTGAGAGTTGAGCATGATGACACAGTCTTGAGATCCCACCACTTGGGAACTAACAGCAAGTGGACAAGGAATTCAAGATCAGCCTCCACTACATAGTTCTAGGCCAGTGTGGAATATACAAAACCTTATATCACACAATATTCATAACAACAACAACAAAATCGCTTTAGAATCATCATTGAGACTAGCATACCCAATATCTTGTGGTAAACACCAGTCCTAATTGGTAAGACAAAACGGTAAAGCCTAGGAAACATTTAACAGAACTGCTGTTACTCAAACTGACTCCCCCCACCATTTAAGCATTCTTTAGTGGTGAGCCTTCCTGCCTGCCCTTCGGATCCTGTGGTGTGTGCAGCGCAAACAGTACATTTTGTGCCCGGGTGTAGTGTTGGCCTTGCCCGGCCTGGTCTGGCAGTGTGCTTTGCTGGACCAGGCAGGCTCTCTGCAGGTTATGCTCCGTCATCTTCCTGCAAACCCTAAAAAACATCCTTGGTATTGCATTTGTTAGTTCTCAGTAATGCTATTTACTTAGAATCTGGAAGTATGTTCTCAGAGACCTCTTTAGACAGCAGTGAGATGTAGCTGGAGACAGACCGAGTAAATGGAAAAGAAAAATCAGATTAGGCCAAGAATTGTCTTTAATCTCTTACCTCACAACAGCCCTCAAGGATAGCACCATAATTTATATTTCACTCATGTGGGTCAGACATAAAACTCCGCTCCCCCCCCACGTAGATCCTATAACGTCTAGGTATTCAAGTTCTGGACTTTCATCTGCCTGCCTTGCCGGGTCACAGCACGGAATCACAGCAGGCAGAGCGGCTTCTGGTTCTTTCCTCTTTGCTTGGGAACATTGATCACCAAAGAGCAGCCCGATGTTGACTCCCTTGGGTGCCGTGCGTGGGGCCGGGAAACAGTTCTGACTGCGATTTCATTAGCAGCATTGTGCCTGGCCAGTGTTGCCTTGGACATGTATAGGTAATGTCACAGCTGAGTGGGCCGTTTAAACTGGGCAGTGAGGTCAGACAAACCTTAGAACAGATGACACTGAAGGCCGAGCAGAGCCGGGCTGTCCTGCAGCCTGCCAGGTGCGTCCCTGCCCTGCCTTAAAGCAAGGCTGCTTTGACCCTTCGGCCTCCCCATTCTGATACAGCTTTAGCTGTGGAAATGAGACGCCACCGACTCTCTGGGCTCCAAGGTACGTGCGGGCAGGCGGGATTATCCCAGACCAAGTCCTTTTCCCCTGGGACTTCATCTCACGCTGCAGTGCCACTAAAGAGAGTGAGACCGCAACCCTGGTATTTCTAGATTAAAACAGGAGCCATTTGGAGAGATTCAGAGAGTGCTTAAGAGGGTACGTGGACTCCGATGCTGTAGAGTGTGCAAATGTGATGTAAAAAGGGGGAAATTTAAAAGTCATCCTCTGGGCGCAGATGACCAGGAACTGGGCACGGAGCATCCTGGAGGACATCGTCACCTGGAAGTAGGCGGCATTTGGACTTTCTCGTTAGCACTTCCAGCATCTGTAGTGCGGTCTCTCGTGTTAGGAGATTGTCTGCTGCATTTTAAAGCTTAGCCTTCCTAATGTTCCCAGGATTGTCTGCTGTCAACTCAGCTTAGCACGCCAGGGGGTCCTGGCAGCGGGGTCCCTTCTGTCTTAGAAAGACAACTCGACTGCTTCGTGAGCTCACGGTTCACTCTTTGGCACCATGGAATTGTTTCGAACGCCTTTCGGTTTAATCTTTTTTTCTTCTACTTAAAATGTCAGCAAAGTTGGTAGTCTTAAGAGGCTTCTGGTTTCTGAGGCTGGCAAGGGCATCAGATGACATGAGAACCTCCCAGCCGGGTTCCAGATTCACGAAGGATTTCTTCGAGCATCTGCTATGTTACAGGAATCTGTATGTCCTGCAGGAATCCCTTTCAACCCTCCAAACTTTGAGAACAATGGCTGAAAAGGAAAGGTGGACACCTGGGGAGGAGGGAGTGGAGGCTCCCTTGGGGATTGACTGGTGGGAGTCCCCTGCAGCGGGAGGGCTTGGCTTTTCACATCACAGCTTGGTGTCTTCATGTGCTGTCCAGCGTCTACCAGGGTCAGATGGAGCTTAGGAAAACGAGGGTAACAGTCCTTTTTGTCTTATAAAGCGTTGTCCTTTCTCTCTCTCTTCCCACAGCCTGTTTTTCATTTGTGTCATTTCTTGTTAGCATTCATTGGAAAGGGAGTCACCCTCTACCCAGCCAGCCAGCCAGCTCTGGAGTAACTTACAGATTTGTAGGTGATGTTTTCTGTGAAGGTAACTTTGAAAATATGAGGCTATAAATAGCGTGGAAACCAACACCCATGATACGAATTTCTCCCTGAACATTTCCGTTTGCCATCGGGTATTCTATAAATTTTAGTATGTGCTTCTCCGTTATTATAGCTACAAAGGTGCTTTCTTACGATCCTAGAAATAAAACTTATTTTTTAAAAAAAAATTTGGAGCTGGTCAGATGCCCCAGTGAGTTAATGTGTTTGCCATTCAGACTGATGACTGAGTTTGTTCCCTGGGATCCACGTGGTGGAAGAAGAGAACCAACTCCAGGCAATTGTCCTCTGACCACTCCCCCCCCAAAAAAAAAACCCACAGAAATAAATGTTTAAAAAATAGACTTTTAATTTGATGAATTGAAAGCAATCTTTGTACTTTAGGAAACTGAATGGATAAAAACATTCAGAAAAATGGCCCTAGCAAGGCGATGGGAAGGAATTTTAAAACATGAAACCAGAGGCAACAAAAGACATTGCCACTGGCATGGCAAGGTCATCGGCTGGGAAACCAGAGCCCGCCTCTCTCCACAGCGATGGGGGGATGGATTCCACTGATAGAAGCTTTGCGTGAAGGGATGGCTGATGGGGGGAGGGGGGGTGAGGGGTGGGGGAGTGGAGGAGTGGGGTGGAGCCCTAATTCTACTTCCTCACCACCTCTGTCTACCTGCCCCGTCGTTTCTCTTTCCCGGCTCCAGATCATCTGCACAGAGTCCAGGGCACGGCTCACGTCCCGCAGATCACCCTGCCACCTGCAACTCACGGAGCCTGTAGGCTGGTTGTGACGTGGCAGGTATCTTCAAGATGGGCTTTGGCTTTGGCCTCTTATTTTCTTTTTCTTCTAACTCTACAGGAACCTAGTAACAAAAGGGTCAAACCCCTTTCGAGAGTCACGTCGCTAGCAAACCTCATCCCACCCGTGAAGACCACGCCGTTAAAGCGCTTCAGCCAAACCTTGCAGGTAAGGGATATCGTGGGCTTGGGTTGCAGAAAGCTATGCTGTGCTCGTGTACAAAATTCCTGCGTGGTTTCAGGTCGGCCCGAATCAGCACCTGCTGCTGCAGAGGGGTGCAGGTGAGGGGTGTGCCAGGAAGAAAAGCGTGAGGTTTCGTGGGTCGCATCCGGAGCATGCGCTTACTGGTTTTGCCTAGCAATTATCTCTGACTCCGGGATATCCGTGTGTGATATGAGCTGGACGGTAGTGCGGCCTGGTGGTTTCAAGCAGGGTCAGCAAGGTCTGGGAGAAGGGGAGACCAGCCTGTCACCTCTTTGTTCATGGCTCGTGAACTCACCATGGTTTCTACTTTTTTAAGTGTTTGGGGAGGGGGGATGAAGAGAATGGTATTTCTTATATGTTGAAACCATGTGAAATTCTAATTTTACTGTCCATAAGGAGCTTGGTTTGGCCACCAAGCTTACCTGTCTGTTTACAGAAAAGGTTTGCCGACCTCCGGGTTAGAACAAAAGCCATGACGTACCCTGGCTCTGCCTTTAGTTCTCTGGTTGAAGACTGCCAATCCTGGGCACAGAACTTAACATTTCCAAGTTAACATTTCTAAACGTGGCCTTTATTCCTTGACGGTAAATTTAACATAGAGTCACCATTGTGGCTTACAAGGGGCCATAGTGCCTTTGTAGAATGATTGTAAAGATTTGTGACATAATAAATTCAAGAGCCTTTTAGTTATTGCTAGCTATGTAGTGAATACTGTCTACAGTAGTAATTTTTAGCTAACAAGTATGTATAGTTGTTTTAAAACTTTATTATATTTTTATTTTGTATGTGTGGGTATGCAGGTGTGTGTGTGTGTGTGTGTGTGTGTGTGTGTGTGTGTGTGTGTGTGTGTGTGTGTGTGTGTGTGTAGGCATGTATGTGCCATGATGCTTATGTAGAGGTCAGAGGACAACTTGCAAAGGAGTCAGTTTTCTCCTACCATGCAGACCCTAGGGATTGAACCAGGCCACCAGGCTTGGCAGCGAGTGCCTTTACCCCCTGAACCATTTCAGCAGGGCTGTTCTTAACCTCTTACTGCAGCTTGCCTTTCAAAGTGAAGATTGAGATCTAGCCGCAGCCTTGGGACCCATTTGTAACCATGAAAAAACCCTTCTACACCGAATCCCACAGAAGTCAGCCCATGAGGTCTCACCCAGCACAGCTGAGTGAGTCTTGAGTCTGTCCTTTCTCATCTGTCTTGAGTAGTTGGGCACAGCAATGTTTTTATCTTGGCCTTGAACATTTAAGAAAACCTGAGCCCAGAGACGCGCTTCCGGGTGAAGGTGTCTCCTTGGTTCTTACCTTCCCTAAGGAAAGAATTTAGTAAGCACGGAGTTTAAGTTGAAGTCTATATAGCAAAGCGTTCACACGGGAGAGGTTGGAGTGATTGACCTAGAGGCATGCCTCGTGCTAACAGTCATCACTTGAGAATGCTATAAGGTTCCCCTGCAGCCCTCTGCACCCCTGCTCACTCACTGTGGGATGGATGCTTCCTCACTGTGGGATGGATGCTTCCTCACTGCAGGATGGATGCCCACAGCCCTGTGATGCCGTCCCTGCCCACCCCTTGCCCCCTCTCATACACCCACCTCCCTGTTTAACTCTGCTGTTAACCTTGAGTGGATAGCCTTACCACCCAGTTAGCTCTGGGTCTGGCTCCGTCTTGTCGCAGTGCCTGGGACGGTGAACTCCTGGTTATCCTCTGGTCTCTTGGTGGGAAGAGCAGAGGAAGAAAATAACATTTTGTGGGGGGGAGTCAGCCTGCAGAGTGATCAGAGGAGGATGTGTTTGCCCACTGTCCCGTGTGGCCATTGTCTGAGCCCTCTGGACAACTTCACTGCAGGCTTTTCCTGGAAGATTCATTATCACCTGCACATCTGGTCTTTTGCTGAGTTCTGCTTTTTGAAAAGTCTTCAGACTGTCAACTGTGTTTGACCCTTTCCTCTCCGGTCTAGTAGTCTCTGTTCAAGGTCTCTGTGTGCTATTTCATCCCTTGATGAAGGGACCTTACACTGATGGCCTCTCTTCCTACTGTTTCTCCCGGGATGATCCACTCAGTGCCGGGCAGACCCTCACTCTACAGTTGTCCTTGGAGCTGTTGGTCCCTTTACTTGCTAACATTGCCTGGCTTCAGCTTTGAGTTTGTGTTTCCAAGAACACTGTCTTCTTCCCTGTAACCTATCCTGATTACATACCTTCGCCATTTTTCTTTAGACAATCTTTTGTTTTATTTGTTTGTTTTCTGGTTCCTATGGGTCCTGCACAGAAAACAGTTGATTGTCTTAAAAATTTACATTGACCCAGAAAACTAGGAAAGAAAGAAATTAATTAATTTCTGAAAACTAACAGACTGAGGCCAAGCAAGGACTAGAAAGTCAGACCCAAGGGAGAGTCTGCCATGTGAAAATTGCCTTCTAGCAGGCGGTAGTGGTGCACACCTTTAATTCCGGCACTCAGAAGGCAGAGGCGGGATGATCTCTATGAGTTCTAAGCCAGCCTGGTCTACAAAGCCAGTTCCAGGATGGACTCCAAAGATACATAGAGAAACCCTGTCTTGAAAAAAAAAAAGAAAAGAAAGAAAAAGAAAATTGTCTTCTAAATCTTCAGAGATATTTTTCTTTTACAACATAAGTTTTCTGCTGAGCTGTTTCAACTGTCATGATAAATAGCTCACCCTAGGATGTATGTATGGGACAGAAATAGAAAAGTTATTAATAATGGTTATGCACTTGGAATGAGAGAACTTGGGCACTGCGTTACTTGGAGGAAGAGGCTTGTGAGTAGAAATACACCTCCAAGCTTGTGTTTTTTGCACATCATGTTCATGGGATGATCTGTGAGATGGTGAGTGCTCCCAGGGGGCCCCTGTAAGTCACCTTGGGACACGCAGGGTTAAGCTTCTTATCATTGTTTACCAAACTAGCATTCTCGTTTGTTTAGATATCCATGTCATTTCCACTAGTGGAGAAACGAGACCAGGGAATATGGCGTGTGCAAACTTCTTGGCACTTAGCGGTCATACCTTACGCACCTTACGCACCTCTGTGCATTATTTTCTGTTTCAGAAATCGTGAGCACGGGGCCAGTTCCCTTATTTACTTCTCTTTCTTTCCGTGTTTCCTTTATTTTTAGTTTTACTAATGGAGATTAAACCCAGGATCTTGCATGTACAAGGCAAGGGTTTCCCTACCAAACTTTTCGTTTGGTAAATTTTTATTGCATTTTTATTTGCGGGGGGAGGGGGGTAGGGTGAGGGTAGGGTGGGGGTTATGCAAGCTGGCTCTCTCATTCTGCCATGTGGGTCCAGATGAGTGAACTCGGGCCATCAGGCTTGGCGGCGAGAGCCTTTAGCTCCTGATTCATCCCCTCTGTGTGCGTCCACCCTACCCCCCTTTTTTTGTCGTTATCGAAACAGGGCCTCATTATGTGGCCCAGGTTAGCCTAAGTCTGTCCATGTAGATAGCTCATCCTCCTGCCCCTGCCTCCCCAAATGTGGCATTAAAGGCACGTGCCGCTGTACCCGGCCCCTTTTTATATTTTTTGTTTAGGACCAGGGTCTCACTAAGTTGCCTAGGTGGGCCTTGAACTCCGTCTGTAGCCCAGGCAGTCCTTAAGTTTTTGATTCCCTTGCATCAGCCTCATGAGTGGCTGGGGTACCACACCCGTGCCACCAGACCCAGCTCGCGGCTTGGTTTTCTGTTGCCCTGCAACTGGGTGTCCAGTTTTAGCTCTCAGGTTGAGTTCCTCTAATTATAGGTGCCTTAGACCCGACACCCTGCTTCCATTGACTCTTAGCGGTTCTCTCCCTTGTGAGGCTACAGTTAGTGAAGCAGGACGGGCACCCAAGCTGGCATCCTCTTCCAGGAAGATTGAAAGCCCATCGACAGAAATGAGTGGCCTGGGAGGCAGCACACTACCCGGCTTGTTTTCGCTTGCCTCCTGGCGCTGACGGACTGGGGAGTTGGGCCTCCCGGCACAAAGGCAGCGTTTGTGATTCCGACTGTGTGGTGCCCTGTCAGTTCCTGACCAGAAACAGTTAGCACAGGGCTGCGGGTGAATAAAGCCCATAAATCGCCTCTGTAGCATGCCTGAGAGGGAAACCTGGCCCAGCTCTGAAAGGGGCCGGAGTGAGCACCTCTCATGTGGACCAGGGAATGCCAGCTCCCATGGGCCAGCAGCTCGCTGAGCTCCGCCTCTCCATGCACAACTGTGCGTGACGGCTTAACACGTTTGAGTCCAGTCCAGCAAGGACAGAACTCATGGCCGTGATGTTGCCCTTTCTTCTCTTTGGACAAGAACATCTTTCTCTTCTGTTACAAAGAGTGTGTGTGTTCCTTATGGGGAAATACAGGAAGAGAGCAACAGAATGTGTGTAAGCTGTCTATTCCTAAACAACCCTTTTAACAGTGTGGCATTTCTTTTCAGAATGACTTTGAGTATCAGTGCACACTTTATATACCCTGAGCCTAGCTCAAGGTTACCTAGTCTACCCAGCCTCTCCTGTGTGAGCTGCCCAGGTTGGGGTGCAAGTGTGTGGTCAGTGTCTCTTGACACTGGGGGCATGCCAACTTCTATTAAAGTTAGATCTCTGTTTATTTCCCCCCAATAGTTTTAGGCCTCCCACCCCTACCCCCCCTCCATTTTGTTGTTTTGAAACAAAGCCTCATGTAGCTCAGGCTGGTTTTGAACTTACTATGTATCTGAGGAAGACCTTGGTCTACTTCCTCAATGCTAAGATTACGGCCATGTACAACTGCACCTAGTTAACGCAGCCCTGAGAATCAAACCTGGAGCCTTGGGTATGCTAGGCAAGTGCTTTACCAACCGAGCAAATGACTCAGTGGGTTTTGTCCCGTCTCTGTTTTCTACCTGCAACCTTCCTTTGTCATTTATCTGGGTGAGGAGCTTTTGTGTAGGATCGAAAGGAAGCATTATATGCCACTTATTTTTGGAAAGTATACTCTTTA